ATGAAGAGGAAATCATCATTTTTTTTTTTTTTTGGACCCTTGTTGCTGTTTGCCTGACTCTGCAGACTTTTCAAATATTTCATTTAATTTATTAATCCAAAATCTTACGTAAATACAAAATAAAATTGACAGAACCCCTTTTAATGAAGAGGAAATCATTTTTTTTTTTTTTTGGACCCTTGTTGCTGTTTGCCTGACTCTGCAGACTTTTCAAATATTTCATTTAATTTATTAATCCAAAATCTTACGTAAATACAAAATAAAATTGACAAAATACCATTCAAAATTAGGAAATTGAAGTTTAAATATTTGAGCAATTAATTGATCATTATTTTTGCCTTTTTTTTATTTTGATTTTGAGCGATATTTTTTCATATATATATCAAATTTTCCTTCTGGAACAAAACACAAAGTGATATATATAAAACAGTTTATAAGAATAAACACAAAATAGATCCGAGACCACGAAAAGTCGATATTAAATTTAAGGAAGAATCGGGTTCACATACAGGAAAACGAACTCGTTAACATAAATAAGCACATAGATTAAAAAGGCACACATCTTGCATATGCAAATGAAGCTACTTAAATTATCAGAGAAAATTTCGTTTCCCTCGATAGATGAAAACAGCCGTGTGATCTAAGTTGAAAAATTAGAAAAGAGTTAATAACATTTATAATTACGTTTATAATTACACTTTTACTTTCTTTAAATGTATGAAAGATAAATAAATTATGAAATACTACAAGCTACAGTTATGAATTAAAGCATATATTTCTCATATTAATCGTATTAAATTACAATAACTACAAAGTTCGATTTTTCATAAACAAACCTTTCAAAAACATGTAACTTTTTATTTATTTGTTTATTTTTTTTCTATCAAACTTCTTCGATTACAACTCTGAAGTTTATTTCTTTAATCTATAAAATATGACGTCGTATTGTTATAATAAAAAAAGGAATGACGTAAGAAGTACTTCGATCACAGCATGTTATGCTACACATAAAAAAAGATGCCGCGCCGAAACTGGCCCTAGTGATCGAAGTTCGAAACACGTCAGTTAACTCTACATATAGAACGTAAATTTATACAACATCATACTAATTGCTATAAAGTGTTATTGTTTATATTATAAAGTGCAAATTTAATGTTCAAGGATAACTATAATATTATAGAAATTTACATATTGTGTCATTTAAGTTATATTTACGTCATAGATATGGATACAATGGATTCGACATTAACTAATATAAATTCTTGTCTCTAGTACAAAACATAATTTTAACAAACGATAGTAATTTCGTGGAGGAATAATGGATAGAAATTACTATTTTTTTTAAAAAGGGTCGCGTTACTTTCGAAAGTAATGCGTGTCTACTCTATTTCGAAGAAAAGATCAATATTGAATTTCACTCTTCGAAGGAGCTAAAAAGAAATCTGCAAATCTCTGTAAACTGCACATCGAGATCTCATTTAAACACCAAATTCGAGCACATAAAGGATAAGGGATAAATAAAGTAATGTGTAGCAGTATCTGGGAGATTTCAACCGACAATTGCCAGCAATGTGTGATAAACCAACACTTTCTTTAAAATAATAGCATCTGATTCCTCTAATGCAGTCTTCCGAGTGTTAAATGAGATCTGAGTTTTCGAATTTTTCACAGATTTTTCTCTCTGAAATAAAAACGAAGACATCTTTAATGCGCACTTTGAAAAATTTGTGAATATTCGATTAAGTTTGAATGCTTTTCAATTTTTAGGTTTTACATATTTTAAGCTATTTATATAAGTGTACAAGATATATATCAACACTTACATTATATATTTACATATACTGTAAAGATAGCAGATAGCTTTTGCTCGTCGGAGTAAACTGAGCCGAATTTTTTCAATTAAAAATCTATTGTTGCTAGTAAACAGGATTAAATACTCATCTAAAAGTTAAGTACTTCACCATTTTGTTAGTTTATTGGAGTCTGTTGAGATAGATTTAACAGCAAAACAAAATGAACAAATGATCAAATTAATTGATGTGTGCCGAAATCACTTTGTTTTCTTGCATAGTAACTAATTAAAGCAGCGAAATTCTCAAAATAAGTCCTAATTTATTCCTTAATTTTAATGTTTAATGCATAAACGATTAATTCGTCCAATTGGGAAAAGTTTATCAATGAAGTGCAATATTTATGCAAATGTGAATTGTTTGTTCATGTACATACATATTTACAATAATTTATTTTAATATACTCTTAATTATTCATAAATATAGATAAACATTATCAGCAAAGCTTTAATAAAAATAAAAGAATCCACTTAAAATTTACTTTTATGATTGAATGTCTTGTATAATGAACGTTCACGTGACGAGATGTGCTAATCGTGTGATCTAAACCACATGACTTTCCAGTAAACAACTTGTACAATTCCTCACTCAGTTAAATTGTTTAATTTGAAAACTATTAAATACGGCTATAAGCAATTTTAATTGTAATTGAAGAGAAGATTTTTATTGGAACCTGTATCTAACGTTAAAAGTTTCATTAAATAGAAATAAAAATAAAAAGGGAATTCTGTTAGTTTCTATATTATCTTAAATACCAGTGTATTTGTGACAGTTTCCGATGGAAAAGTTTCTACGGTATTGACATTACACACCTTTAGAGGAAAGTAGTACAGAATACAGATTCAAAAAAGGCTCTGTCTACTAAACTTTTGTGTATAATTAATACACAACAATACATACAAGTCCCATTAGTTCCCGATTCTCTTTGCAACAAATGGGAAGCAGGCAATAGTCTTTATTTTTTGTTAATAAAAAATATCCACACCATTATGACAGCAAAGACTTAGCAATTGCATTTATAAGTTCCAGCTGCGAGTTGCTTGTTGTGATTCAAATCTGCTTTCTCCCATTGAAGTCTCTCTAATTCATCAAATTTGCTAGCCTGAAATAATACGGTTATCGTGTTAATGTTATTATTTATAAGTTAAGTCAATAATACCATAAAGACTTACTCTTCGTTCTCTTTGTTCCCTTATTTTTCTTGCTAGAGCTATAAAGGCCTCTTGAATGTTGATGTTCTGCTTACAGCTGCATTCATAGAAGGGAATGTCAAAACTATCCGCAAACTGTAAACAGGATTAATAAATATAAAAATACAAAATTCTCCACTACAGAAACTAATTTTATACTACTTGTATTTCGTCGACAAAAGAACGGAATGGGAGAAAATTTCAAAAACTTGCCGAAAAGATTTATATTCGCGCAAGAAAAGCGGCCATAGGGATTGTAATGTTAACATGTTATTATTCTACTCAAACAGCGAAGACAACAATTCCGAGGTCGTAGATAACAAAATAGACAGTCTCGGCTCGTTAAAATGTCCTCTTCAGCTAGGAAAGCGGGTGATTTTTCTTTGTATTTTCTTTCCGCTTGCGCTACAAATCTTGCTTTTCTTCTCCATCCACTTTTTGATATACGACCGGCCTCCGGAGAAAAGCAAATAAGTTAAGAAAAACAAGATAAATTGAAGCGGATTCTTCGCTATCATTCAGTAATTTTTGTTAGTTGGCCGTAACTTTTTAAAAGGCTATTTTATTCATCCCAATTTTGCTATATATAATGATTCACAAACTCACGTTTCGTGACCATTGGATCCCCCCTTCCATTTCAGGCATTAGATGTACAGTCCAGATATTGCTCCCAAAAAACTTGATGGATAACAATCAAACTATGTCTCAATAAAGTGGATTTATCCATTCTTTTTATCTTAACATCTATCTAGAAACTTAATGAAGATAAGTGATCCTCGGGGAGATAATTTTGCACTCGAGAAATTATTTAGAAATATTTCAGAGATTTTAAATTACTTCCAGTTAAGCTTGCAGTAAATGACTCTAAACATAAGATAAAAGAAATATTTTTAGTGGTAATTTCGTTTCAAATGCATTAAAATGCTCTTCGCATTTCTTAAAATAAATCGCTTTACAAAGTAGTCAAAAATGTATTTCTATAATTTAAATCAATTGCTCAATATAAATTCGAACATTTCAATAAATGAAAATCGAAATAAAAATATATTTGTTTATTTAAAAAAGTATTTGAAAACATTAAATGAAACCGGCGCATTTCATTTTAACTGTTCTGTAATAAATGCATCAAAAATCAGAATTTAATATATTTTAGAAAGATACTTTTATTTAGAACGATTAAAATTTATAAACGATATTTAAAGCCGAAAAGAAGGCAACAGGAAAAAAGTTATTCTTTACATTTTCACTCTGATAAGACTCATTAAAATAAATTCGCTCAGTTAACTGAAAATAGTTTTCGAGTACAATACTGTAAATTTTTCAGAAGAATCCATTCCACAGAATCTGTGCATCTGCTGTTATAAAAAAAATTGTGTTCTAATCCTGTTTTCTCGCACTTTTTCTGGACAATTTCAACCTAGATATCGTTCCTCATTATGCAAATGTAGATAGAATCCATTGTGATACGCGAAATCTGAAGCTAAATGTAACTTATAAAACCTAAATAAACCTGTAAAAACTTTCCCCATTTCATAAAATTCTATAAATAGATTAACAAATTTCTAAAGTTACATGAACGCATATAATCTGGAATATCTGGTTTAATAACATAGAATATAAAGATGTAAATAAATTTAATAAAATAAAACTGAATTATTTAAAGAAGACGATTAAAATTATAAAGATAAAATTTGACAAACGTAGCATATCTAAAATCTGAATAAACTAACAATTAAATTATGTAAAGATTAAGATACAAGAAAAAAAAATTAAGATAGACAACGACTGAGATACAAGAAGATTTAAAGTGAAAGAAAAAAATGCAATTTTTTTTTTTATGTTTATAATATAAAAATTCATAGAAAAGAACTCATTTTTCTCTCTCTATTATAACAAAAGAATGAAAATAACTAAATTTTTCAGAGATGAAACTAAAAATAACGGTAGCTTGTAAAAAAATTGGTTTCTTACAGAAAATAACAATAATATTAATCCTGAATAAAATATTTTCGAGTAAACGCTATGAATATCATCGAAACATTTTATGTCTTCTCCAGTTTTGAAGAACTACCTAATGGAATTTTGTGAAAATCGACAAAAAAAATATTAAATGTATTTATAATTTTTAATCAAAATAATGTAAATTGTACTTTGTATTTCCATATTAAGCAGTTTTCTGATAATTTTCTAAAAAATTAAAAGTAGTATCTTTTCTTTTTTATCAGAAACATCTACCATGTATCGATTTAATCACTGTAATATAGAAAGAATTGCATTTTTTTTTATTCTAAGCAATTTAAAATACTTGGGTTATAGAATTCTAGTTTATTCTAACGCTTCTGTAATAATGTCATAAATCATAAAAGCTTGCGACAATAAAAAAAAAGCAAATTTGTATAAGGTAAAAAAGAAAATATTGAGTTTATTTGAATTTTTTTATTAAAAAATCCCATTTTATTTATAACAAATAATGTAAATTAATTTATATAAAGAATAAAGATAATAATCTAAATTAATATTAAAATATCATAAAAATTTTAATTAATAAACAAACTATGAGTTAGTAAATGTTTATTTAAATTTCGTTCATTAAAAATACTGATAACAAAATTACATTTTCTATTACTAAACAGAAGATAAAATAGCAGCATTGATCATCGCAAAATGTTTATGAGGAGGAAATTATTTTATTAAGCGCTAAATTTAATTATTTTGCAAATATTATGAATGTTAATAAGGATACAGAAATTAATGATAAAATTTTTAAACTAAACATAGAAATTTAAAGAAGACAATATCGAACCGATTGGCTAAGTAGCGGCTATTTTACCTGAGGCATCAAGCATTGTATTTTATTATCTATGTTATAACATGGAACGACATCTTAACATGACAACAGCTGTCATTTCTTATTCCGTTAAATTGGACATAAAATTTTTAAACTGCAAAAAGCGTTCGAAATAACCTAAGCAAGAATTCTTTTATCTTAAACCTCTCGTGCGACATTTTCGTGAGCGCAGTACGCAGTACCATATTTATATCGAGTTGAGATTTAAACAGAAATGCAATATACAAAATATATATATATCCCTTGTATATTCATATTTTTTATTGAAAGAATTTATAATATAATCGGATAATCTGCATTCTCGGAAGCTTATCCGATAATTGGAATCTTACGGATTTTCAATAGTCGAAAAGAAGATCGATTATCGATCGATAGGCGCCGCGTTATGATATTATAAGCCATATATAGGCCTATATAAAATTAAAAAATAAAATTCGATCTAAAAGATTTTTTGCTAGAGAATTAATGAGTTAAACCGTGTTAACGAAATTTATTTTGGAGAAATAAATGAAATTTGTTAAATTTCTTAATTACAAGTTTAGTTCTTGAAATACTTTAAAGTGAGGAACGACTTTATCTGTTATGTAAAAGCTAATTAAAAGGGACGAATTTTACTATTAAAATTAGAATTTAGATGGCATTTAATTCATTGCAACTAGTTTTCAACGATTACCTTCAATCCTCTTTCGTATTCCACGACACGTTGATGCGAGGCGTCGCATTTATTTCCTGCCAAAACTTTCACTACGTCGTGGGCAGCATTCTATAAATTTACATTTATTTTCAATTGTATATATATTAAAGAAAAACGAACCTCAATAACGATAACAATTGCGTTACCTCTTGAACATTCCGAAACCAGTAAGACAGATGATTGAAAGAATCCATATTAGTGACATCGTACATAACCAGAATTCCCTGAAAGTCATCAAAAAACGTAGTTATTTTTAATAAGAAATTACAATACATGAAAATAAGTTGTGTAGTTTAAATATCTTTAAATATTTACAATGCACATTTTAAATATAAATTCAATTACTTTAGCAATTTAGCACACCCCATCTCTCGTTGCATTATAATAAATTGGTCTAAGGGAATCTTAATGGGATAATTAGTTCGGCAGAAAGGAATTTAGAAATAATTTAAACGTGGATTTCGGATAAAACATGCGAAACACCGAGTAAAAAAATTGTTTATCACTCCAACGACATAGAAGTTCCCGTTCATTGTCGTAAACGTCAATCGGACATTGCTAATTGATACGAATACCCTTTTATGTAATTATCATCGATCGAAAGACCATTTTTCTAGATAAATTTCCTTTATTCATATTTTATGTTTGGAAACAAAACACCATTTAGATTATTTCTTTTAAACAGTCAATAAATGTCTATTGTTCCATGAAAATGATTTCTGTATATTTTTCATTAGTGACTTTAGAAAAATTATCTTTTCTAAATTTACTAATGGTAAATTTACTAGCAATTAAATTTTCGTTTATGTAAGAAAGCCCTGCGTGTAAAAATTTTAAGTTAACTTAAAGTATATACAGTATATTTTAATTTAACATAGTTTGAATTTAAATGACAGACCATGGCTCCTCTGTAGTAAGCCGTTGTTAGGGTCCTGAAGCGTTCTTGTCCTGCTGTATCCCTGTAAAGACATTAATAATTTCTATCACATAGAAATGCTTTCTTCTTATCTACTTGATTTAATTATCTAGTCGATACTTCAAAAAAAAAATAAAAAATAACGATTTAACACGTAAGCAACTTTTTATTATTTTTTTAATGGCGCAATTTCTTAATTCGCCAATTATAATTTCATTTAATGCTTTCAATTATGAATTTTTCTGTTTTCTTGTAAGACATTAGATTTTTTCCATCTGCTTCTTTTTTCCCTTCTTAAAAACATAAAAAGAACGTACAGTACCTCTACAAAAATCTGCATTGAAATTTCGTGAACGGATTATTCTTATACCGAACGAATATTGATATTCTTTTGCTTTCGAAATAGAAAAGTACTTTTAGTTCGAAAAATCCGGATTTGATTTTTACCTCAATATAATTCAATTATTATAAAAAATCGCGTCGAGTATTCATATACAGAAGCGAAATGGGAGTATAAAGCGCTAATGAGTTTTTATCCCGCCATTCGATTATTTCCACACTGACGTCATTTCCCAAGGCCCATTATCTTCTAGTGACGTCATGTAATATCATCCGATTAAACCCATTTTTCATTAATAGCGTTTAAATAGCTTAACAGAAACATCAAGACGTCAGACGAAATCGTCGGGGAAGAAAGAAACACAAATATTACAAATTATTCTGGAAACTTTTTGTGAATTTCACAGGTGTTCTATTAAAAAAAGTTAAGAACAAAAGCTAAGAAGAATGATTATTTGCAATTTTGTGGCAGAAATTTTTTCATTATCTGCACCTGTTTACTTTATAACTCGTTTTGCCACTTCGCTATTAACAAATAGAAAGAAAAAAAAAATATATATATATATTCTAGAATTTAATATCACCAGGAATTTTAGTTAGGCGAAACAGGTGGTGGCTAGAATAATTTTTCAGTAATGTTAAATAAATTTTAAAAAATAGAAAAAGAAAAAATGTAATGAAAATGTGTAATAGCTCACAAACTTTCGAATTAACAATCGATATAGGTACAATGTAGATTGATATTTAACTAGATCTGTTAGGTTTTTCTGTCACGAACCAGTGGCGTCTGTCTCTCGTAAGTTGGCGCCATTGACTCGCTCTAGACACGGAGGCGTGGCACCGTATATGTTTTCTACATGATAAATAACCAGGTGTATGTCCAAAAAATTCCTCTATCTGCAGACTGTTTGGCGTATTCCGAGTTACGATTTTTACAGAAATAGATGATGATGAACGTATATAATTTTTGTCCGTGCTTTAAACTGTACATAATTGCTTCATCGCTCATCCCATCAGCAAATTATCCTTTGGATAGTAATAAATGAGGAATCGATATTCGGTGCTTATCTGTACGTACAAGCGATTCGTACCCGTTTCGGAGTTCGCTAACAAATCTAGAAATTTAAATTTAAATTGTTTCTGTAGAGTTATTTTAAAAGAAAAACATAAAATACGTAAAAAATGAATAAAGTATTTATTATTTATTTATATTTATTCATTATAAAGGGGAGCATTACAATCAGAAAAACACTTTCTTGGAATGATGCTTATCTATCCAACTTTCGAATAATGTCATAAAGAAACATTCGAGTTAATTCAATCGAATTTTCCCTTAAAAATTTCATTTTATTCGATTTTTTTTTTTTTTTGATAATCTAACAGAAATTTCTTCGTCAATAGAAAATTGTCTTTCAAAAAATTCCCTAAATTATTCCTTAACATCCTAATTCGAAGAAAATAATTCGTATAAAACTCCCCATTAAACTTTAAAAATAAACTTAAGAAAGATTACAAAAAAATAAAAGAAAGTTAACAAGTTCTTCCAATTATGAACAAAGAAAAAACAACGAAAGTAATAGAACTGCGGACATGTTTCTGACTAGAATTCGCCGCCCGCGGCCCAAAGAAAGAGAAAATACGAAGCTTTAGAGGGAGGAAGACGAACAACACGCTATTGGTCGTATCATACTACATCCTAACAACATCACTCCTAGTAATGACTCCGAAACTTCCACGCTCCCGGCCACTCAGGTCACGTGTATTTTACGTGTCTACATCTGCACAATTTTTTTATTGACTCCACCACTAACAAATTTTAATTTCCGTATATTTCTCTTACTCACGAAAAAAGAAATAAAACTCTTCGTTTAAATATTTCATTCTTTAATTATTTTAACATTTTTTTCTTTTTTATACTTAGATAATCTAAACACCAGGATCCATATTTTGTATCCCATTATTAGAGAATTTATGACGTTAAATGCAAAAATACTTCTTCATTTCGGCTAATGATGAAAGCTGTCATGCGCACCATTAATCGATAAAAGAAGGTTCGGAGAGCATAATGATTATTTGGTGGAAAAAATATTCAGTAGTACAAAGGATATCATTAAAATTGTCTTCCTTTCCGTCATATTAATTTCGAGTGTTCTATAGCAAACTCTGATAAATTAACTTTGCAGTTTTTCGAGGTAACAGACTTTAATCCTGTAAATTTACTGGGGATTTTCCACACAAAGAACAAATATTATGGCTAAATTCGAGCTCTTGCATTTATAAAGAAAAAAAAAATTATTATAAAATAATTTTGAATTTAATTTAACTCCACAGATCAATGTAAATAAATTTAGTTAGAGCAAATTAAATTTTAAGCAGATAAATAAAGAAATGTATGAATAAAATTAAATTATTCGCTTTGTAAAATCATTTTTATCATTGCTTAATCTATTTACTTTATAAAGTGTACCAGACATTGGAGTTGCATTTGATTTTTTTTTTCCCCTGTTTTCTTTCAATATAATATCTTAGATTTTCTAAAGTGTAATTTGTAAACATCATTAGTAAATAACTTTTCGCCTGATCTATTCTTTTTTAAGTTATAATATACCGCAAATATTTTGTTTGGTGAAAGCAAATTAATTTCTTTCGTAAAGAATTTTCATTCCAAAATATTCGAAACGAAACAAAAAAAAATAAATAAGTAAAATTAATACTGTATAAATATAAAAGTTTAAATGAAATCTGTCATAAAATAAAAAAAACCACATAAAAAATTCAAGTAAGTAATGTTTCGTTCTCATCAACTCTCTTCAATGATTGAATTCTGTTAAGTCGAATAGCGGTTAAAGTCATCCAGATTTCATTTCCAGCTATTTTCTGCGAGAGATTTACTTCAGGTAAAGAAAAAAATAAAAGAAATTTCTAAGTTTCGGAATGTCTGCTTAAAGATTAAAAAAGAAATTTCAAACTTTCTGCTCGGTTGGTGATGGCTTCTCTTTCTAAAATATCTCCAAGTATATCGGGCCCTTGAGCAAAACAACTCTCGAAAAAGTGAAACTTTCTTGAGATCTACTTATGAATCCGCCATCGACTTATGACTCACATCTTCTAAAAGCCAAACTTTTGAATTTCTAAATCTGTTTCTCTGGGTATTTTTATAATGCATGCTGCATTTCTGTTAAATTACTAAATTTAGATCCATATTAAAGTTATAAAATTTTTTCTGGCGTAAAATATCGATAGAATAAGCCATGAATGTCAGATTTGATCATAAAAGTAGTAATCTTTCTATACAGTTACATGAACAGGATTTGGCCAACCTCGAACATAAATTAGTTAAACCTTTAATATTTTAAAAATTTTCAATGAACTCGTTTATTGTTAAAATTAAACGTGGCTCTAAACTTTATTTTAATCAAATTTTAATTACTTTCCTCTGTAAAATGAAAATATTACAAAGAAGAATTTTTTGTACAGAAATGGGCATCTCTTAAGAAGAAGAGCGAGTGGGATGCGTCCATTTTCTATCTTGGAAAAACAGCTAACATGGCTCTATTAATCATTTAGCCCGGTATTTTGATGGTCTGACCGCTCAAACCTGGAACGATGGTCGCTTGGATGAATGTTTTCGGCCTCTAATCTGCGATGAAAAACCCTTAATAGCCCTTGTTGCCATAGAAACACCTCGGATGGTCCGCATCGGCAAAATTCCATCCCAGATATTTATCAGGCTATCGTCTTCTATCAATCTCTACTCGAAAAATTAAGATTTAAATAGACAATCGAGAGAAACAACGGAAAACATTTTCTAAAAGTGAAAGGCTTCGAGATGGCTATTTTTTTAACTCGGAAAAGAAAAGCAAATACTTTCCGAAATATTAAATATTTATAAGTTTATGTTGCAGACGTCGAAATAATGAAAACAAAAATATATGTAAACTTTTCGCTAGAAACAAATGAAATTTTCGAAGTTTCTCTTTGTTAAATTTTTGTTTAATGTGTACTGGTAAATTTATTTATAAAATAAAAGGATTACAAAAAATATGCTTACAGAATTTATAATGGGTGCAAACATTTTCAAATTGAATAGGGAAGATATATGAACGAGAATAACACATTATTTTGTTCAGAAAATTCTGAAATAATGCACAGATTCGTATGTATGTAAGCTGGCAATATGAAAGGAAAAAAATAATAATTTTTCTTGTCTTTGTTATCTTTCTGATTAAGAAGCTACGAAAGTAGTGGTGAAAACTCTCGAGCTGATTTTTATCAGGAAGAATTTTTCGTTGATTCATCACTTTTTCCTTTGACATCGACAAGTTCATTTTTACGTAGCCTCTTATTCTATCAAGGAGATGAACTTATTTGCATAGGATCAAGAAGAGAAATGTCTCCGAGTTGACGATCGAAATTCGAATATTTTCGTATAAAGTATGGTGTAGATAATAAAATATTTTTGTTTTTATTTTTTCAGCGCATTATAAATTCGATAAAGCTCGTAACTATGTGTTTTAGTTATATTAAGTTAAAATTCCTCTGAAAATTATTGTACTGTCATTTGACAAAAGTCATGTTTAGGAAATAAAAGATGTTATTATTTATTTATAATTAGAATTTTTTCTTAATATTTTTTTTTATCAAACTGGAAATTCTTAGAACACTTTTTTTTGAGTTGTGCTTTTCAGGCCATCACAAGTGTCA